AAAAAAAAAAAGAGGTAGGGGAAGAATATTTTTTTGGGGAAAACCCCCTCTTTTTTAAAGAGAAAGGGGGGTTTTTCCCCCACGAAAGCTTATGCTCCCAATACTTCTGTTAGTCTTAAAGGTGCCACAGGACCCTCTGTTAAGTTTTATCAACCATCCAGTTATTGGTTTTAAATTGTAAGTTGTTTTTTTTTTAAGTGTGTATTTTGTAAATATTTGGCCTAAATGAACAGTTTAATTTTAACATTCTGAGGAATGTCAGGATACAAATCACTAGGCAGCAGGAACCCTACGCAGTGAGTGCCTGCTGCTAGTGAACGAGAGAGAATTTTTTATCAATGCATTGCCATGGGCTGACTGCAGTTCTGATTAGACAAAAACCAACACAAACAAAACAAGAAAAACACCACACACGTCACTCATCTTAGAACTAAGGTAGTGAAGCAACTTATGGCACATAGGAGTACAGGATTGAGCCTTAGACAGGCTGAATGTTCATGGATGTCCACGGGAGTTGTGACTGTGTGAGGAGCTCTACAAGGGTGCTTTGGTGGAATGAGGTTAATTAGGGACTGTGCTACAAGAAAGCAAGTCATTATAAATAATCCAAGTTGACTTTCTGACCACCTCTCAGGAATTTTTGGTCCCTTCCATAGGGCCTGATCCTGCCATCTCTGCATTTCTGTCATGACTGATGGCAGGATTTAAGGATTCACAATCACTCTTTAAATCTGTGACCAAATGCTGCCTCCCTGTATGTTGCAGGGATATAAATGCCAGAATTTGGTCCCCACTCTTAAGTCAACGTTTGGAAGCTACCTCTTTTCCCAGGACTCGCAGTATGCCAGTGCATTTTATTTTTTAACTAGCTTTTGTTTTATGGACACAATATTTGTACGAGGGCTGGAACCTCAACTGTTATTTAATGATTTTACTTTGTTTAATTTATTGTTTGTATTTTGGGGGTAAAAACTGTCAATAAAAATTGCTATTCGTATGTGGATGTTTCCCCTCTTTTCTCTATGCTACAGTTGCAAGGTCATGATCTGAACACAGGACTGGGAGCTGTGAACTCCCAGTTTTCATCCCATCTCTGGCCTTGAGCAAGTCATGACTTCTGCCTCAGTTGCCCAGTATTTGAAGTGGAGATAAACAACTCAGAGTTGTTGGACTTCATGTTTATAATGCACGCAAGAATAAAAAATGCTCAGTATTGGATTAGCTGCTTCAGCCATGGGTAATGCTCAGGCTTATGAGTAGAGTGGGAGGGGGGTAGAGTTTAACGCAGGAAGGTTCATTAAGGATTCTGCCATTTGTATGATCCTTAGCCACTGAAGCAAACAGAACCAGATGTTCTCTAGAAAGCTGGTGACCGTGTGCAGAAGTGTCAGCACAGCAAGTATGAGGCAACAGAAGCATAACAAGGTCCTTCCTTCCTGCCTTTGCTATATGAGGTTTACTGTAGCTCTTGGCTGTGGGAAGGAAAGAAATGGACCTTACGAAAACAGAGGTGGGGAAAAGATGCACCAGCTCTAATAACGGAATTAAAGTGCAATTCAGACACTTAACTCAATCTTGCTCTCCTTTCAAGCTCACATTAGTACCATATGTTTAGACTTTTACCCTCTGGTACTGCTATAGATGCCAAGGAGTTAGAAAGCAACAGATTATCTCCCCCCCAACCAACCACCACCACCAAGGTACCAAGAGCAGCTTCTGCTAAAGTCTGACAGAAAAATAAGGCCCCTTTGGTGCTGGCATCCAGTAACTATTCTGTCCTCAACCTTCCTTTTCTTTACAAGGTAACAGCCCTCAATTGCTATGGCTGTTCCATGTCAGACACCCATAGGCACAAAAGGTCCTCAGTTATTGGTTCGAGTGCAGTAAGATTCTGGTATAACCCTTTTCTACGAGGAAGCAGCAACATTTCAGGAGGGCATAGTGAACATGGGAGATCACTCCCCATCGCATTTCCAGGAAGGTGCTGCAGTCCAGCTTCTCCAGGAGTTGCCTCTGTAGCCACTGGTTTTAGAAGAAGGCCAAATTCAAAGATGAGCTTAAGTAATTCTGGAGAGATTCTCAGGTGGTGGGACTTGCATGTTAGAAAAGGGCAAATGAAGGTACATAATACACAAATTTAGACTCCCCTGCACCTCAGTAAGTGGATCCAAGAGAATCTGCATACAAAGAAGTCTAACGTACACTTCCCCTCAGTTTGGCTCCAGTTCTTAAAACTGGAGAAGGAGAAGCAGGTGCAACACTAGGAACCCAGGTAGGAAAGGGCTCAGAACATTAAAATCCTTATGGCCCCTTTAACTTTCATCATGGACAAAATACCACCACCACCATGAAAAGAAGGTAAACCTACACTGGAAAAACTTGCCAAAGGTTCTAGGGACTGGACAGATAGTGGGGATAGAGCGCATGGCTCAAGGTCTTCTGCCTTTGCTGTTTAAGGGAACCCCACTCTGTTGGCATTGTTTTTGCAGCCTAAAGAGCAAGATTCTTTAGGTAGCAATAGCACATGGAGCCCTCCAGCCAAGGAGAGTTTAGCAAACTGCAACTGATCCAGAGACTTGCGGGTGAAGCCACCGTTATAAAACAATTGCTGTAAGCTAGCGTGTTTGCTCCAGACCCAGGGGGTAACTGTGAATGCTGCCAGTGAGATACACATGCATTTCTGCGATATTTCTAATTGTGAAAGCAACACATAAGAATGTCATTATAGGTATGTCTACCCTGCAATTAAACACCCATGGCTGGCCCGTGTCAGATGGCTTGGGCTGCGGGGCTGTAAAACTGCAGTGGAGATGTTCAGCGTTGGGGAGAGGGTCCTAGAGCTCAGGCTCCAACCCAAGCCCAAACATCTACACTGCAGACATGGGCTAACCATGAGTCTTTAATTGCAGTGCAGACATATCCTACGGCATCCTTCCAGGTGTTCTGCAGTGCATTCTGATTTCCTTCAGTGAAATTACCACCCCAGAACAAACACTGCTTGTCTTACTAAAGTGAATAGTTCCATTGTCTTTAAAGGAATGGCTCTCACAGGCCAGCAAGATTTAGCCCCTTATTTATCAACCTGCTGCAGGTAAGCTTTTTGGCATGCTAGCCATAGCTATACTGACAAACCCTTTCTAGTAGAGGCAACGCTCTAAGGATTATTGCACAACTACAAGATGTATTTGTACTGCGGTATGTGAGAAGGACAAAAGTCTTAAGGCCGCAATGGCTTCAGAAACCTTTACACTCAATAACAATTTTGCTGAGTTTGTTTAGTTTGGAAAAGAGAAGACTGAGAGGGGACATGACAGCAGTTTTCAGGTATCTAAAAGGGTGTCATAAAGAGGAGGGAGAAAACTTGTTCACCTTAGCCTCTAAGGATAGAACAAGAAGCAATGGGCTTAAACTGCAGCAAGGGAGGTTTAGATTGGACATTAGGAAAAAGTTCCTGTCAGGGTGGTTAAACACTGGAATAAACTGCCTAGGGAGGTTGTGGAATCTCCATCTCTGGAGATATTTAAGGCCTGGTCCACACTAACCCTCCACTTTGAACTAAGGTACGCAAATTCAGCTACGTTAATAACGTAGCTGAATTCGAAGTACCTTAGTTCGAACTTACCGTGGGTTCAGACGCGGCAGGCAGGCTCCCCCGTTGATGCCGCGTACTCCTCTCGCCGAGCTGGAGTACCAGCGTCGATGGTGAGCACTTCCGGGATCGATTTATCGCGTCTAGACAAGAAGATCGATTGCTTACCGCCGGACCCGGAGGTAAGTGTAGACCTACCCTAAGAGTAGGTTAGATAAATGTCTATCCGGGATGGTCTAGACAGTATTTGGTCTTGCCATGAGGGCAGGGGACTGGACTCAATGACCTCTCGAGGTCCCTTCAAGTCCTAGAATCTATGAACAGAACTCCGATAGTGTGACATATAATACTGACAGCCAAATTATTCCAAATGTACCCAAGTGATTCTAATAACTAGAAGGTCAGAGGAGGTCAGGGTGGACAGGTATGAATTAGCTCCTCCAAAAGCAGGTCTCTGGTAGAAATGCTTTTGATTTCCCCGAATACTGCAAATATTTCATTTTGCTGAATCAGAGCCTAGTCAAGACAGAAGAAGCAGAAAAGAAAACAGTGCAAACAAATCAGCCAGGATAGTCCGCGGTGCCTGTCGCTTGAAACGGCAGCCCCTTTGATTTCTGTGTACTGCACCATTACATCTCGAAGAGCATGGCCTCTGTGCAGAGACAGCAGCTGTTTTGTCCCCAGAACTGCTGCAGCCCATAGGTGCAATTACAGGAGAAAAGTGGGGGATGTGATGTGGAAAGGCAGGAGACCAATGGTGTAAATTGTTTTATTTTAAAATGAGGGTGTAGAATAAGGAGGTGGCTGCCCTGAGGAGCTCATTTCTCCATTTATCCCAGAAGTGCAGGTCAGTGTGAGAATCTATGGGATTGTGCATGGCATACATGGAGTTGGGCCAC